AAATGACTGGAAAAATAAAAAGAGATAAAAGGGGGTGGGGGGAGTGGGGTGAGAAGGAAGGGGAGCGATGTCATCATATTTTATCAGAGCACTTTACACTCCATGCTAAACTTTGATCTCCAGATTTTCGGATTTCGGAAAGAAAAGAGGAAAAAAGGAGAAAGTCCAGTATTTCAAAGCACCTACCGGCTTAAGGATGGGCACATTTCCTGGCTCCGGCGCCAGATCGCTGCGCTCGCGCCGCCCATGCTGGGGCCTTGGGCGCAGAGAGCCCCCGGGTACAGCCCGAAGCTCTAGAGTGTCACCGGCCCTCGCGCCCCCGCCCGCGGCCGCCTCGACTTACCCGCGGAGTCCGGGGAGGGAGTGGGAGTGCAGCCTTCACGCCCGCGGAGGAGGCGCCGGCAGCACCATGGTCCCCGGCGCCGCAGCCGCTGCCCCTTGGCCCGCTTGCTCGCCGCGCGCTATCCTCTTCTTACAAACTTTCGGATTCTGCGGTCGACAAGAAACCGGGGCGACCCTCAGCAAATCTTCCCGGTGCAGGTTGGGGGGAACTGAGTGGGGCGGGATAAATGAGTAGCCTGGGGGGCCAAGACCGAGAGTGCGGCGGGCTCGAAGGACCCGCGAGCGCGCGTGGAGGGAAGAGAGGATGTGGCCCAGGGATTCCCTGCAAGGATCCCGAGACCGGGAAATCGGCCCGAGCCGAAGTCTCAGCACCTTCCCCGGGATCTTACAAAGTTGCAACAACAAAAAAGGAGGGGGGGAGGAAAGGGGGAGGGGGCGGAATAGGGATACGATTGCAGACGCAAGGTTTGGAGTTACAACTGTTTATTTAGTCCTTATTCTCACAGGGGGCGGGAGCTGCGCCGCAATCGGGGGCGGGGGGGGGGGCGGGTTGCAGGCAGCGATTTCGAGGCAAACACTTGGGAGGGGGGCCTGAGACTTTGTTTCTGGGCGCGAAGCTCCCCGGCGCCCGCGTGTGTCACCGCCAGTCTCCGGGGACCAAGACGGAGCTCACAACAGGTGGGGAGGGGGACTAGCCGAGGGCCAAAAAGAAGAAGGAATCAAAGTTTCCGAGCGCGGCCGTATCTGGGGAGGAGGGGGGCGGGAGGCGGAGGCGAGGGGAGGCGGAGGCAGCGAATGACCGCGACCCCGCGGCAACTGGCAAACTCCTCCGGCTCCCGGCGCCGCCACCGCGGTCCCCACCCGAAGCGCACACCCGCCCGGCTCGCCGGCTGCCTCAGCTGAATCCTCTCTGCCGGGCAGGAATGGAGCGCGGGGAGCCCGGGAGGAAGGCGGCGCGCAGCAGAGGAACGGAGAGCCATCGGCCGCCGGGACAGGGCCGAAGGGTCTCGGCGACTCGCGCACGTCTCAGGACATATCAGGACTTGGGAAATTCCCCCTGTTCCCCAGGCTTAAGAGGGACGTATACCCAGAAAGTGCGTGTGGTGCAGCGGAGAGGAATCCGGGCGCGGCGACTCCCCGCAGCGCACCCTGCTCCCACTCCCACCCGCCGAGCTGGCCACGGCGGCCTCGGATCCCTCGCGGGGAGGCTGGGTTCGCCGGGCCGAGCGCGCGAGAGGGTACGTGTCTAGCTGAAGGTGCGCGGGTGTGTGAGTTTTCTGGGCTCCGGGGTGCGGCAGAGGAGTGCCCCCGCCGCCGAGTTCGGGGCACGGCGTGCGTGGCACTGGAGACGTCCCCAGCCGCGGGGCCTAGGGCGCAGACGTTCCCAGTCATTCCGCTGAGGCCCGCGGAGCAGCCCCGGGGCACCGAGGGGGAAAACACTCGTGGAGAGCGGAGGGAAAAAGTTTGCTCCAAGTCCAAAGTTTGGGCTCCAGAGGCACCCGGCGCGCGCCCCCTCCCGCCGCGGACCCGACCCCGGGCCCCGCGCCCGCCCGGCTTCTGGGCAGGCACCCCGACGCCGGACACCGAAAGTTGCGCCAGGCGGCCTGGGATTCTCGATTCCTCTCCCCGCTGCAACCGTGGAGAGCGCAGAGCGACGCGTGAAGGGGCCAAGGTGAAGGAGAGATCGCCTCCTCGCCACTGCAGCCGCCGTAGCCCCCCCCTCCATTTGACTTATGGAAATGCACCCAAGAGTGCGGGCGCCGCCGGAGTCCCCTCCACCGCCCCCAGCGCCAGCCCGCAACCCCCAGCCACCCGGGAGCCCGGGCCCCGACCCGGGGGAGAGAGAGGCTGCCTCTGGGGAGGGCTGGGGGAGATGCACGTGGAGCCGGGAGATGGGAAGAAGTTTTTTTTTTTTCCTTTTTTCTTTTTCTTTTCTTTTTTTTTCTTTCTTTCTCTTTTTTTTTTGGTGGTGTTGTTGTTTAAAGTGGTCGGAAACAAGGCAGGAGGCGGCTTGGGAAAAAGTGGAGCAGAAATGGAAAAATACAAACTCACCCGCTGCAAATGGTCTCTCGGTGCAAACTAAGGTGTTTTCGGGCCTTTCCCCGCGCGCGCCCACTCCCGCCCGCGCGCGCACCCCCGCGCACACACTCACTCGCGCACACACGCGCGCACACACACGCACTCCCGGGCGAGGGCCGGGCCGCCGCGAGTACAGCATGCAACCGCCACACAATAAATAACAATAGATTCCTCCGCTCCGGACTAGCTTTCCGGAGCCCAGCCAGCAGCGGCGGCGGCGGCAGAGGCGCGGACGACGTCGGGCCGGGGGCGCTACCCCGCCCGCCCCCTGGGCTGCGGCCGGGGCCCCTTCTCCATTTTACGCACCCCTAAGCCACCCCCGGAGCGCGAACCGGCTCGCCCCCCTTCCCCGAGCCACTCGGGCGCTGGCACCCAACCCCCTCCCCCGGCCTCCCGGAACAAATAAATAAATAAGGCGCGCGAGAGGCCAACACGTCGCGGAGGGAGATGTTGTTATTTTTTGCTGTTGTGCGTCCCTGACGTCACATCCACCTGCTGGGTAAACAACAAGGCTCGCAGCAAAAAAAAAAAAAAGAAAGAAAAAAAAATCGCAGTTGCCAAGGGGGTGGGGCGGGGATTGAGAGCAAGGGGAACAGGGAGGTGGGAGTGAGGGGTGTCCAGGCTAGATGGGGACGAGGAGAAGGAGGCAGAGTCCCGCAGACCAGAGAGAGGAAGGCAACGCCAGAGCAGTCCCTGGCAGAAGAGGGATCAGGCAAGAAAGACCTGGAAAATGAGGGGCATGGGGGAGGGGGATTCCTCAGAAGATGGGGAAAGGGGCGCCCGTTCAGACACCGGAAAGAAACGAGAGGGAGAGTGTTAACAACTAGGGACGAAGATGGGAATGCGATGGCTATTTGCTTGGTTTCTGAGCTAAAAATACAGAAGGAAGGGGAGAGGAAAGACAAGCATGTGAGTTTCCTCCAGTTAAAAGTGAAAGTGTTTTGCCATCGGTGACAGTTGAAGGAGGGGGAGGTAGGGTGGTGTTTTCAACCCCCTTTCTCCTTCTCTCCCGTCCTCCCTCGGTCTCTCCTCTTTCTTTCTGCACTTTGTCCAATGAAAGAAGGCGAGTTCGGGAGGTGAAAGTTCAACAGAAGGACAAACCCCTGTTTGCAAGAAATAGAAACCCGCCAGTGAGGGTTTCCCCCCCCCCCCT